TGCCGCTTCACTTTTTACAAAATCTTTCTGTGAGTCCCTAACTGATACCACTTTGAAACACCCTCTGATACTCATTATAGGAGATATGCATCCTTACTGTCCGTGATGCTACCAAAGTGGGATGTGCGTGGACTTGAAGTGAATCACTGTGGCACCTCCCAATTGAGGTGAACGGCTCAGTCAGCACTATATGTCCCATTTTTATCTGCACAGAAACAGACTCCTTAAAGTAGAGTTTATTTTCAGTCCTACACTCAAATTAGCCAAGATGCAACATGGAAAATCACTTTCTTTGTGATACTGACACACAATCACATGGTAGTGCCATTTGAAGCCTAATAGTTGGAAGTGATATGGCTGGGATCAAAGGTTCAGGTAAAGATCGCCATTTTTTTGGCATTGCGTCACTGAAACAGCATTAAAAGTGCGAAAAAAAGGCTGATTCACTTTTAAATTTTGTGAGGATGCTTGGGTTTAGGTAGAAAATTCGTCCAATCTACCTTTGCTATGAAACCCGTGAGACACCACATACCTACTTGTCCGATGTAATGATTGTACGAAGGAATATCATGGTCCCTACTTCTAAGCCATACCTTCAACTAAGACAAACTGATTTTACCACCATTTTTTGGCTTGATGATTTCTAGATTATTCATTATTTCCATAAGATGGTAAGGATAATCATATGGAATGGGCGGTAGAAGGAGGGAGATTAAAAATTTGTACTCAACAAATTTGGGATTGCATGAGAGGCAATTGAAGACGAGTCATTGTTGACGTCTTGAACACACACATGCGGTGTCGCATTGACTAACTACACACCTCCTCACGTCACACCTTTCTCCTTGCTTCACTCCCAGGCGATCTTTGGGGGCATTAGAGACTGCACATCGACCGCGATTCGCTTTGAGTAAGAGCCTTCACCGCTTCTTGATTCAATTGCTGGGACACTCATTCAAATTACAGAAGTTCTAAAGAATCTTCCTAACCGTGTAACACACGAATGTTGAAATTTCACATTTTGAACGGATAAGTGAGCCTTTCTGCCAATATCACTGATTCGGAGAGATACGCGCCTCCACTCTGTTGAAGTAAATATCGACAGGATCGTGGTTCGTGCTCAAGAGGTTGAACATTTTGTCAAGGCATTTCATTCCTCGTTGTTTGTCTCTCTAGCTTACCATCATGGCGTTCATTGTACAATGGGTAAAGTGCTTTGGTTGAACCGAGGCATTCTTAATACATGCGATACTACTGTCATTGGCACTAAAGTAGTATTTCGCCTGGTTCAGAACTAATAGACGTGATCGACTTAATGCTTGTTTGATTACCGTCCATAAGCGTGGCTTTGGCATGGGTTATTTCATGCTCAGTTACTTCAGATAGTAAGAAAACGAAAAGGATATTTGAGTAATTTTGAGGACCGAAAAGGCATTCCTCTTCCCTTCCCTCCTCCTCATTCTGGACTGCTGCAATGACTAGTCCTGTGCGATTGAAAGGAGTCGCGGTGGGTACTGATTCTGACCTATCCGCGATACGCACAGTTGTAATGATCCCTCTGCATGATTGACGTTTGATACACTGGGGTCGTTTAGATGAACACGCTCTCTACCAGCGTCATGCGCGTGTGACGTGTTCGTTTGTCAGCCTACTGGTTGCGCAAATTCGTGTTGTCTACAGATTAACTATTTTCTGAAATAAGGCTAATTATAGGCTACCCTTAGTCTAATTATAATTGGAGCCTTTATTTGTTAAGCAGTAGTTGAATTGTTAAAAATGAAGGACAATTGGGGCCGCACTCGAACAATAAATCAGCCCTTGATTTTGCGGCAAGTCAATCCATTTTATCAG